AACTTGAGAGGAAAAATGTTTTGAATATTAATCATAAACTTTTTATATTAATTAAATAAATCTATGTATTTAAGATATAGTAATTATAATAGATACAGAATGCTTATAACACAAAACCTCTGAAAGTTCGATAATTAAAAATAAAATATATTTTTAAAACAAACTTATAATTACCTACATAATTGAATAATGTTTCTTATAAACATATTTTTTAATACTATATTCTGTTCTTTATTCTAGTTTATTTGAAAAGCGCCATTATACTGTTTGTTGTCTAACTCAATTAGTTATAATTTTTTTTTTGCTGCTAAATCACTTCTTAAACGTTGAGATTGCAGGTAGTACCGTTAATATAAATTTAAATAATATACTGAGTTTTGAAAAAAATAGATTTTTTAATAAATTATAATACAATTGAAAGCATGTTGTTTATTCATACAAGTAAATTTTGCCATGTTTTATGATCTTCAAGTATATAAAGTATATACTTCAAATATATAAAGTATAAGTTTGAAGATCAGAGAAGCAACTTCTATCTAGTTGGCTGAATTTATAGCTCAAATTGTTAAAGTATAGTTCTGAACATCACTCTCGGATCTTAAACCTCGAAAATTTACATCTCTAGTTAATAATAAAGCAAAAGTTTGAACATCAATCTAATGAACATAAACCTAACAGAATTTAAAGCTCAAATTAATGGAGTATAAGTTCGGCAAACATCTAAGAATAATTGTGTTTGCTGACGCAATACATGCCTCAGAATAATCAACTACAGAATTAATAAATTGATATTAATTGTACAATAAGCAAACAAGTCAAACTTTTTCATATACTAGTATTTTCGTACTTTTTATCTGTTTTTCTGCGTTTAGAATTATAAAAGCTTCGCTTGAGCAATTCTATAAATTGCTGTGTTGTAGATGCTCCCATGAATTCAGGGAAAAACCAATTAATTTTTAAATTATTTTTTATATTTTTGAATTATCTTTTTGCCAATGTTATGGCGTTGTTAACGTATAGTTTTTAAAATAGAATGGCCATCTATATTTGGCACAAATTGGCTATTAGTTATAGTAGAATATCTGAAGTATTTACTGACTCTGTTATTGTAATATTTATTGGCACAATTTTTAATTGACTGAAATTGCGAAAGAAAAAACTTTCTGACGAGTTACTATTGATCCAGTTATTACAAATACCTATATTATGATACAGTGTATCCAGGAATGAAAATACCACTTTTTGCGTTAGAAATATAGTATGCGCAAAGTATTTGAAGAATTTCTTTTCTATTTTCATTGAACTGGAAAACTAAAATTGCAATACTTTGGTTGAATCTGCTATGTAGATTTATGGCATTTTTCAATTTTAGAATACTTTCTGTTATAGTTTAGAAGAAAATAACTTAGCCTCACAAAAAGATAGATCGCAAAATAACACTCCTCAAAACGTTTTAGATACGAACCACCGAATTGATAGAACTTTTAGTATTTGTACATAAA